GGGCAACCAACCCACACGCCACCGCCATATATACCGCTCCGCCTCCGCTCTCCCCGCCTCAGAAGCAGGAGAGAGAGCTCGCTGCCGCCCTGCCCTGCCCTGCTCTAGAGTCTAGAAGGTCGACCGGCATGGGGAGGTCGCCGTGCTGCGAGAAGGAGCACACCAACAAGGGGGCGTGGACCAAGGAGGAGGACCAGCGGCTGATCGCCTACATCAGGGCCAACGGCGAGGGCTGCTGGCGCTCGCTGCCCAAGGCGGCGGGCCTGCTGCGGTGCGGCAAGAGCTGCCGCCTCCGCTGGATGAACTACCTCCGCCCCGACCTCAAGCGCGGCAACTTCACCGACGAGGAAGACGAGCTCATCATCCGCCTCCACAGCCTCCTCGGCAACAAGTAAGCCGCTCTACCCTTCGATCGATCAACCTCGCCGACGTGCTCGTCCTGTATATAGTGCGACTTCTTTGCTGACGACGGGAATGCTCGCTCGTGAAGGTGGTCGCTGATCGCCGGCCAGCTGCCGGGCCGGACGGACAACGAGATCAAGAACTACTGGAACACGCACATCAAGCGCAAGCTCCTCTCCCGCGGCATGGACCCCCACACGCACCGCCCGCTCACCGCCGTCGACGGCGGCGCCGCGTCGTCCCGCCCGGCACACATCGCAGTGCCGGCGAGGGCAGCGCCGCCCACGATGTTCGCCCTGCCAACAAAGCAGCCTCCCGTGGATTCCTCCTCCTCCGACGGCAGCAGCGGCGCGACGAGCACGGGGGAGCCGCGATGCCCCGACCTGAACCTGGACCTGTCGGTAGGCCCGCCGGCGGCCGACACGCCGACCTCGCACCCCGTCTGCCTCTGCCGCCACCTCGGCCTCCGAGGCGGGGCGGCGTGCAGCTGCCGCCAGGGCGACAGCCCGGGCTCCCAGGGGGGCGGGTTCAGATATTTCAGGCCGCTGGAGGAAGGCCAGTACATATGAGACGAGACGGGACGGCTAGGCCCTAGGCTCCACAGCAATTTGTAAGACGGCGAATTTTTCCACCTCCGCAGCACCACTGTCCAACGAAACGGTGAAGAAAAAATCTAATCTGTTCATATTTTCCTTGTACGCCAAACCCACGAATTTGTCCTCTCTCTCACACACACACAGACGCAAAATGGAGTACTATCTTTTATTCTTGGTTGGTGCCGGTTGTGTTGGGTGAAAAAACGAGGGGATAATGTGACAAAGGTTGGTGCGTGTTTTTTGTGGAAAAAAGGGAGGAGCTGATGTGAGGTAGCGGGCACATTATTGTTTCGGGCATCAGATTCCGGTGTTCCTTTCCTGTGCGGTTTTGGTCGTGTGGATGGATGTTGCGCAAGGCAATCATGTGGTGTGTTTTTTCGGTAGGTATTTCGGCTTGTCCGTGTTTGCACTCCACGAATTCTTCAGTTGGCAGGGAGTTAGGCAGTGAAGAAACTCGTATGGCCAAACTATGCTGTTCTATTTCGGCTTGTCTGTGTTTGCACTCCACAAATTCTGCGCTTCAAATGTTTGCACGCATCAATTGATGAACATTGCTATATGCGCACCTTCAAGTTATGAAATGAAATCCGTGGGGGAATGTCAAGGTAGGAGATGGTCTTGAAAGCAATACAAGGTGAGTAAGCCAGAATCTGCATGAGACGAGATCGAGTAAGCAGGCATTTGCGTGTGCCTGCGTTGTTTGGTAGCCGAATCTTACATGGTACGTACACCGAGGGAAAAGCGCTTTACAGCCCAGAAAGCGGGAAAGGCGGAGACTGTCCTGCGCCGAAACAAAGCGCTCAGCTCCGAACACTGAACTGGTAGCAGCAGTTGGTGGATTTGGTGCAGTGCAGCAGATGTAGTGAGTAGCACACTTTGCATATCCAGAGCTCACAGGTCGGCGCCATTTCTTTTGTTTTATTTTCCCGGGCGAAGAAGCGGCAGCCTCCCGTTCTGGTATTCTTTGCTTGCGCGCCAAATATGCGAGCCTTTGCATATGTAGAGGTACATCTGAATATAGTACAATCGAGTGCACTTCGGCATCGTAGCTGAGCAGGAGCTGCGATCATGGGCGGCCAGTGGAGTATGATCGGGTCAACGGCGAAAGCTTCCGTCGCTTCGAATAACAAGTCAGTGGAGACGGAGCTGGACGCGCCAAGTCTAGGCATACGTTGGTAGGAGTACATGCTGTTCACGCGCTGACTCTGAGCGTTACTTGACTGTATCTGTACCAGGTAGGTTGACTGTAAAACCCCTCTGCTACTGACCGGAAACGTGCACAATGTTCTACTCCTACTAGCTTAACGAGCCAAATCTACTGGAATATCCTGCTAATACATATGTATAATAAGTTAGTAAAACTGATTTTGCTGCTGCTCACGTTTGATGTAGAGAGGTGGCCAGTGTCAAAAATGCTATATATTATTAGAGCATCTACAGCCGTATATAACAAATATAAATCAAACGTCCGCGGACGTGCCGTACTGACCGGTCATTCCTCAAATTAGCACGACTGCATACGAACATCTCATACTAGATTCTCAAATCCATATAAAAGCATGCAAATGATAAAACCTACGTACTAATCTGGCTACTCCTCGTTGGAGATGTCGACAATCTCCGTGCCCCGGCTCCGGCAGCATGGCGGAAACTGATGCTCCCACGCATCCAGCCTCATCCTCCTCTATCTCTGCATCGAGTTCGGCGAAGAGCGCGTCGGACGCCGCCAGCCCCTTCCGGAGGAACTGCCGGTTGGCCTCCATGCAGGCCTAATCCTGGATGAACTCCAGGATGGCCTGCTGCTCCACCTTCTCCGTGGCTTGGGCGACGGCGAACTCCGCCTCCGCCTCCGCCATGTTGAACCCCGAAGCAGACTGCTCCGCCTCGTCCTGCTTCGGATCCGCCACCTCCATCGGCTCCGGCAGCGGCTCTTCCTCCTCCTCCGACTGCTGCTCCTCGTCCTCCTCCGGATCCGCCATCTCCATCGGCTCCGGCAACGGCTCTTCCTCGTCCTCCTCCGGCTGCTGTTCCTCGTCCTCCTCCGGCTCCTGCGAGTCCGGAGGCAGCCCGACAGCGATTCGGGTGGCGCCGCCTTGCCTGGATCTCCTCCGTGATCTGCCTTCGGCGTGAGCATAGCGTACGTGGTGATCAGCCGCCAAACCATGGCGATGCCGGAGAGCATGGAGGAGCAGGGAAAAGGAGGCGGAGGGGCTCAAGTGGCGGCGCAGAGAGGGAGGAGGTGGATGGGCTAGGGTTGGGGGACGTCGGCTAGCCTAAATAGCCGGATTTGGCCTCGGGCGAAGAGCCAAAGCGGTGCCACACGACGTTCACACTGCGGTGACGGAGGAGGCATACGACGGACCACCGGATTTTCGGGCTAGTCCGCGTGGGACCTCATCGTCAGTTCTATGTGGCGGACGCGCCCTAGCGCCCCCATATCCGCCCCATACTTGGATTGGCTATGAGGGGTGCCAGTCAGCCCGGCGTTCGAGACCCGTTTGAGGCGTCCGTCTGGGTCGAAAATTTGTGACCGGCCAATGACCAGGCGGCCCGCCTAGACGAGGCGTGTTTGGGGTGCCCGGCTGTGGATGCTCTTACGAGGTAGAGGGAGTATCATTTAGCAAATCATTTAAGAGCATCTTCAGCCGGGCGCCCTGCATCTGTCTCATATGTCCAGGTAGGCCGTCCGATCACTGGCCGGTCATAGAAAAAAATGACCTAACTGAAACTCTCAAACAGGCCTCAAACGGACTGACTGACACCCCTCATATCCGTCCCAAATGTAGGGCGGATATGAGGCAGCCCGGGCATGCCCCGGTGCGTCCTCCACGTCAACCAAGCCCATGGCTGGCCCATCCCGACCCCACAAAAACCCTCATCCGACAGAAACCCTAGCTCACTCCGCTCCCCTTCCCGAAATCCGCCAAATCCCTAGCACCGGTGAGCATGTCCAGCACCAACAGCCACTCCAACGGCAGCTCCAGAGATGAGGAGGAGCTGGCGCTCTGTATCATGCTCGAGTGCTCGCAGGTCGATACGGGTCCGGTGCGACGCCACATGTCGCCCGTCGCCGCAGCGCCAATGCCGGCACCAGCCGTTCTAGCCCCGCGCATGGATCTGCGAGGCCTGCCCGATCTACTCCTCCCGCCCGATGGCATCCTCCACCTCCGGCCGCTGCTCCGCGCGGGCAGCGTTGGGGTCTAGTTCCTCTTCGCCGACGCTGCGGATGCGGACTCCGTATTCGGAGGCACATGACGCCTACCGCGAGAGGCAGATGGCGGGCGGGTCCAACGCGTCTGCGTAGTCCGCCTGCCGCCGCCGGGTGCCCGACGAGGACGACTGTCTCCTCGAGTGGGTGTGTCGCCGGTCACTGACTGAGGCGGAGACGAAGGCCCGACGGCTCCGGAGGATCAACGCCAAGCAGCCCCGGCTCGGTATTGAGCAATCCGAGCGGGAGGCGGCGAGGGTGGCCAACTCAAGCGCAAGCAAGACCGCGTCGTACGACGCTTGCAAGGCTACATCATCATCTCCAATTCCTCCTCCTCCTACGGGTCCGATGGCTCCAACGTGGACCCACCACCTGCCGCGGACTCCTACAGCTGCGGCGGCGACTGGAAGGGCAAAGGGTCGGCGAGGAAGTGGTGAAGCTCGCCCTCTCCTGTTTATAATCTAGTTGTAGTATGTAGTTACAATGTGCCTGATTGTTGAACTGTGTGACTTGCCTGTTAGATCTTTCGGGTGATGTTTATGTGAATTATGGCTGTTTGGTACCAGTTTATACGTCTGTTTTCTGTCGATTTTGATCGTTTCGTGATCTATGTAATAGTTGCATGGATCTGTATGGATATAGGATTCGGAATATGAGATACGCGAGTGTGGAGGCTTGAATTTAGGGATTGTCCGATCAGTGTATGTGGGCATGTTGAATGCGTTCGCAGACATATAGGAGGCCGGATTTGCCAACTCCGACTATGGATGCCCAGTGTGAGTGTGTGACGGGCGGTTGGATCGTTTCCTACTTGCCATTGAATGGTGCGATCAAAGATTGCAATTTGCAGACATAGGGGGTAATTGTTGCTCCAGTATCGATGAGAAAAGGTGTATGGCTTGCCAAAATAATGACTTAAACAGTAGTTTTAAAAAAAATCGACATAACATTTTTTTTGGTATGACACATTTTTTCAGACAGAACAAATCAACCGTGCCCTGCCGAGTTAACACCATTTTTGACGTCGTCTTTGACGCCTTCCATAAACCGCAATGCTATCGACCGATGGCGTCTACATCATGAACATCGATCTAGAGTCAACTATATTTTGAAGCAGAACAGCGGTGGCGAATTTAGGATGTTCCTATCCAACAACGAAGCCCATTCCCAATCATTGCGTGAACTAGTCGGCAAGATCGGGGTCACACACAAAAAAGTCGGCAAGAGGGCCGTTGATGCAATGAGATATGGGCGTTCATTCACAACACGCACATGCATCCGCTGAGTTCAAAGACTTTTGGACGATCTATATGTGTGATACCGCGATCAATGATTGTGAAATGCTAGCTCCTCCTCGTGTTGTGGGTGTGCTATCTATCCTTGCCCTGATCTGTTTGGTACATCGGTCGGTTTTCCTTTTCATCACCAAGTGCGTGCCCCCCACGATGTGGTTGTGGAAGAAGGATCGCATATCACATGTGCAGGCGCACGAAGTTTCAACGACAGCTTTGAACTTTCTGTTTATTCTGAGAACTGAGACTTGATACGTAAAGGTTAATTCTGCATGTTCGGAGAGGTGCATCGTTTCAACTGAGTAATGATCGAGTTAGGTGTACGCCGCCAAAGTGGCGAGATATTGTGGCGGTGACAAATCATGCTGCTAGGAGTCAACTTCACGGCCTAATCCATGATCAGACCAAACTCTTCCCGTTGGGTGCTGCTCTCATGCCTTTTGTTCTGTGCACCTTTTTCTTAGAATGTTTGC